ATAGCTATCTAGCTATCTAGCTATCTAGCTATCTAGCTATCTAGCTATCTAGCTATCTAGCTATCTAGCTATCTAGCTATCTATCGTATCTACTATATCTATCTATCTATCTATCTATCTATCTATCTATATATCTATCTATCTATCTATCTACCTACCTACCTATCTATCTAGTCAAACCTGTACGAGATAACAGGTATAGGTATAAACATAGACATGAACAGAGGAGATGGGTACGAATAAATGGGGACAGTAGGACAGGGACGGTAGGCACACTGGTGCGCTTATGAGCCCCCCCCCTCTTTATGGACCTCTTAGCAATGGGGGTGAGGTCCAGTTTAAAGTTAAAGCTATGGGGGTCAGAGGAAGTAACAACGGAGTCAGGTAGAGCATTCCAGGCGTTGACCACTCTGTTGCTGAAGTCGTATTTCCTGCAATCGAGTTTTGGAGCGGTTTACTTTGGAGTTTGAATCTATTGTTTTCCCGTGCATTTATTGCGGTTGAAGCTGAATTAGTCATTGACAGTAGCATACAATACACGTAGATCTATAGAAAATCGCACTAAAATGTACGAGAAAAATACATGCTTTCTTGCATAAAGCAATCTGTTAAAAAAAACCAGTCACTAAAATTGTAAAATCGATCCAGCCGAGTATCCAAAGGAAAGCCAAAATTGTTTCCCCAAGGGCAGGTCTTTTACCTGGCCCGGTTGTAGGAATCCAATCCCGGTTTTCCAACACGGGTCGGGCGTGTGCAGCCTTCTTGAAACACACGCAAGAAAAACCCCATTTAAACCAAGCGCTTTTTGGGTGTCGCAGAAAAACCTCTCTTTTACGGAAAACGCGTTTTTGATTTGCGGCGCTGAGCTCTAGGAAGGAAGGAAGGAAATTGGGGCGGGTGGGGGAGAGAAAAGCTCTGAGTTTGTTTTTAAAGTTCAATTAAAGTCCGGATCCAAGGTATAATAAACCCACCCACCCCCCGGCTGGAAATCGGATCGGAATTTAAAAAAATTTGGAAGCCGGGAGCGAAGGAAGGGACAAGGGGAAATTTCTTTTGCAAACGCTCGTAGGGAAAAAAGGGCTCGGAGAGGAGAGGGGATTTTTTTTTTCATTGCCCGTCTCCCTCCTCCCACTTTCGCTTGGGGGCTTTCTCTCCGCGGTGGGCCCTGCTTTGTAGGGTCGCTAATCGATTACGGCCTTCGCCCTTCAAATTTACGAGGCCACCAGGCGAGGCAAAAAAAAATGGGAGGGAAAAAAAAGTCCTTGTAAAACCGATTTTTCTAGATCTCCGGGGCCAGAGCTGGGTAGTGGTGGTAAGGGAGACCCTAACCTTAACCCTAACCCTAACCTTAATCCTGCACCCTCCTTTGCCCCCGCAAAAGGCCGAGCCCAGGGCCTCTCCCCCTCCCATCCCACAATTCACACTTTCTTCTATCCAAACATTTCTTCTCTCCAAATATCCAAATGTCTCTATTTCTGCAACATTCTGTTTTTAAACGGGGGAGNTGCTTAAAAGAAGTTTGGATTTTCTCCTCCCCCCTTTTCCTCTTTTCCTAGCTTTTAACCCGTTTCTTCTTCTTCCCCGCTTCCTTTACAGACGATCCTCAATTCCATGCATAAGTACCAGCCGAGGTTCCACATAGTCCGAGCGAATGACATCCTCAAGTTACCCTACAGCACTTTCCGAACATACGTGTTCCCCGAAACCGACTTCATCGCGGTGACCGCTTACCAAAATGACAAGGTAAGCACTTGGGTTGGGGGGGGGTTAAGAGTTGAGGGAGGGGTGTTTCCTGGTTAATCCCCCCGCCCGCTTCCCCTATACTTTCAACTCTTACTTCCAAAGGGGCTAGATTTGAAAACCGAACCGGCCAAAACAGTAAAAGATTTCCGATAGGTAATTCAAGATAGACTGCCATGATCCGCGGAAGTTCCATCCAGCTTTAAGCTTCCAGGATTTGTCTCTTTTTGCTCCTTCTCTCTCCCTCCCTTCCTCCCTCTCCCTCTGCTCCTCCCTCCCTCCTCTCTTTTAAGACCAAGAATTTGGGACAGGTAGTCACCTCATCAAAGCGGAGTGTAAAGTTAGTATTAGGGAAAGAGAAATCTAATCTCAGTTTCCTTCTATTTTTAAAAAAAGTTCAAGAATTTGGAACAAGTAACACACCCCGTCAAAGTGGAGTTTAAGGCTGATATTAAGAAAGAGAAATCTAATCCCTGCTCTACGATTTTTGACTGGAGGCAGAGCTTCTGGTCTTAAATATCTAATGTGCAGGGCTGGCTATATATTTATTTATTTCAGTTGTATCCTGCTTTTATTGCTACCTTATAGGTAACTCAAGCCAGCGAACATATCCAATACTCCTTCCTCCTCCTCTTATTTCCCCCCATAAGAACAACCCTGTAAGGTGGAATGGGCTGAAAGAAAGGGACTGGCCCAAAGTCTCCGGAAACCCGAGGTGCAACTAGAACTCCCTGTCTCCTGGTGACCGGTTCAAAGTTGCCCAGTTGGTTTTCAGGCTCACCATTTCCTGGTGACTGGCCCAAAATCACCCAGTCAGCTTTTCAGGCCTCAGGCGGGACTAGAACTCTCAGACACCTGGTTGATTGACCCAAACTCACCCAGCCAGCTTTGGTGCCTCGGGCAGGACTAGAATTCACACCTCCTGTTTTTCAGGCCAGCAGCTTAACCATGCCAGCAAACTGGCTTTTAATATGTCTATATGAATATTGGAAGGGAATAGCTTATCTGTGAAACCCTTTACATACATACATACATACTTACATACATGTATACATACATACATACATACATGTGTGTGTGTACAAACTACCCCTCCCTTCATCCTTCTGTGTTTTTTTTTTGTCCTGTAGGAGTTTTAAGAAGTGTTTCTGATTTTTTATCGATGTAATCTTCCAGAAGCACCTTCAAAAGATGCTTTCATATAATTTTTCAATGTTCATTTTTTCCTCAGGGGGGGGGAAGGATAATAGAATAAATAGAGGATTGTAGGAGCCACTAGTTACGTCCACAAGAAATGGCAACTCGGATGACTGGAACTATTGTCCGCATTCACATGACTCCGGCCACTTCCTAAAACGACGGCTGGTTTTTCTGAGCCACCAAGCTACTCAACCCCCCCCCCCCCCAATTGAAACGTAGCTTAAATGTGTGAAACCAGGACACGTGGTTAGATTATGGGTCTGTGCCGACGACAGCTTTAATTTTAGCTTAATTCTGCAAACTTTAGCCAACTTGGGACAAGGGGCCGCTTGGAAGCCCCGACCAGTTTTCCCTGAATTTGGGGGGGACAGGAAAAGAGCCGAGGTGGCGGAGTGGTTAAATGCAGCACTGTAGGCTACTTCATCTGACTGCAGTTCTGCAGTTCGGCTGTTCAAATCTCAAGGTTGACTCAGCCTTCCATCCTTCCGAGGTGGGTAAAATGAGGACTGTTGGGGGTAATATGCTGACTCTGTAAACCGCTTAGAGAGGGCTGAAAGCCCTATGAAGCGGTATATAAGTGCTATTGCTATTGCTAAAAGGGGCAGGGAGGTAGAAAACTGGGGGCTGAATTCTCTCCCCCCCCCACCAACCAGATTATGCTGCCGATTGAATAAATTAGGCTGTAGCTTTTCCCGAATGCATGAATCGGGAAGTCTTTATTTTTATTTATTAAATTTGTCTGCCTTGCACGGGGTCACTCTGGGCAGCTTACCACACTAAAACGAAACCATCAATATCTATCATATCTATATCTATATCTATATCTATATCTATATCTATATCTATATCTATATCTATATCTATA